GCCCCTCTAGATCTCTCGTTGAAAGCCCCAGCATGCAGCAGCAGCAGCAGCAGCAGCAGCAGCAGCGGCAGGGAAGGAGAGGGCGGTGCTGCTGCTGCTGCAGAAGCAAGTCATGCAGCTCTGCTGCTGCTGCTGCAGCAGCAGCAGCAGCAGCAACCTCACGAAAGGTACGCTCAGAAGCAGAGACAAACGCAAAGCTATCGAGGCTAATGAAGGAGGAGCAGCAGCTGCAGCAGCAGCAAATGCTGCTGCTGCAGCAGATGGAGCAGCAGCAGCAGCAGCAGCAACTGCTGCTCGATCAGCAGCAAAAGCTGCAGCTAGGAGCCTTCGGCAGCAGCAGGCCCAACACAGCCTACTATAGCGAGGGTTCTCCTCTGCATGCAGCAGCAGCAGCAGCAGCACCAGAAGCAGCAGCAGCAGCAGCAGCAGCAGCAGCAGCAGCAGCAGCAGCAGCAGCAGGGAGATTTCCAACACAAGAAGCATGCCTAACCCCAACTGACGATGGCCCCCCTTCTGCTGCTTCCTCTCAATCTGTGTATTCTAGCGAGCTGCAGCAGCAAGAATATCTGCTGCAGCAGCAGCAGCAGCAGCAGCAGCAGCAGCAGCACGAGGAAGACTACTTGCTGCAGCAAGAACAAGATGAATACCTGCTGCTGCAGCAGCAGCAGCAGCAGCAGCAGCAGCAGCAACGCCTTTTGCTGCCTAGCAGACATCACAAACAAAAAACAATTCCTCCTTCAACTCGAAGCAGAAAATACAAACAGCAGCAGCAGCAGCAGCAGCAAAGGCAGCAGCAGCAGCAGCAGCAGCTGCAGCAGCAGCGGGGGATGCTTCACCCATATGATTACCCCAGCAGCAGAGTTCATGTCGTTAGCCGCTCATCCTCCTCTGTATCCAGCCACTAGCTAGCTAGCTAGCTAGCTGCCTAGCTAGCTAGCTACAGCTACCCAGCTAGCTAGCGAGCCAGCTAGCTAGCTAGCTAGCTGGCTAGCTGCAGCTAGCGAGCTAGCGAGCTACGGCTACCCAGCTACCTAGCTAGCTAGCTACAGCTACCCAGACAGCTAGCTGGCTAGCTAGCTAGCTACAGCTACACAGCTAGCTAACTAGCTGTAGCTACCCAGCTAGCTGTTTCTAGCTAGCTAGCTAGAGCTAGCTAGGTAGCTACAGCTACCCAGCTAGCCACAGCTATCTAGCTAGTCCACTAACTACAACTAGCTAGCTAGCTGAAACTAGCTAGCTAGCCTGCTACCCACAGCTAGCTAGCTAGCTAGCTAGCTAGCTAGCTGCAGCTAG